ACCCTTCAAGGTTTACATCTCTCTCTCTGTACCTGCTCTCCGTCAATGTCGTGGGCTCAAGACAACAGCAGGGTGAATGGAGCGAGGACACTCACAGACAGACAGACAGACAGCCAGACAGACAGACAGACAGACAAAGAGGGAATACTGGCGGCTCAGCCTGACATCAGGGAACAGAAATAATGAGAGGAGAAAATGAAGGCGAGCAGGAAGGACAGAGCGAGGCATATGAGAATCCGCTTTAAATTTCCCAGGTGGCCCGGGAAGAGGAGAGCTATTTTTCACTGCTGCTGCGCTAATGACAGATTATATGCTGTCTCACCGCCGACGACAAACACTGACACGGCCGAGAGGACTGCCAGACCTCCGTACTGTCTGCCAGCAATCCTCACTGCTAACCCAACCTTGTCTCACTGCAAACGCCGTCATTACCAACTCCATACAAACAAAGTGAGAGTTTGTTCCAACTTGGTCGTACACAAAGTCATCTTCACTGAGCTTTTATAATCTTCCCTCTCAGCTCCAAAGTGGAATCACACAGAAACAAGACGTCAGGTCTACAGCCATGGTTTTGGGTGTGCGTGGCTCTACTTAGCCACAGTGGTGGTATATGCTAAACTTAGCATGCTAACTGACTCAATTGAGCATTTTATGATAAAATTAGCCGTAAGCACAACGAGGATGAAAATGCCATTAGTTTTGGGGGAAGGTTTCCACAAACCAACAAGTGGACAGGAGAAATATGGAATAATGTGGGTGCTAGATGAACAATGTGCAGGATTCACTGTCTGGTGACAAAATGTGACACCAATTCATGCACCCACAGACTGTATGTAAAAGACAGATGTAGCCACCATGATATCACCCATTGGTTCATAGAGGGACATTTTGAAGCCTTGAGTTTGCTACTTCCTAGCTGCCATCTGGAAGTTTTTGGAGCCAGATATAACCATACTTGAAAGAGATGGTGGATCTGGAGAGGAGCAAAGGGCGGGTCTGCCTGTACCATGTGAAAAAATGACAGTACTTGAGCCTAACAATAAAAGTGATATACGAATGCATTTGACATGTTGCAGTCCTCACAATTTAAATAAATATAAAACCTGAATTTATCACACCTTTATATTCATCCTGTTAGAATGACGAGTTCCAGATCAGGTTTCAATGATTAGACACTAAGGAGTCATAGGTGGAACCTGTGTCATTTTACTTCCAACATCTTAGGTTTGCTGTTCTCTCTGTTATTGATGTGAGTGTTGTCATCATGCCAACGTCTAAAGGGCTTTCTAAACAAACAAAAAGGAAAAAGGCGTCTCTTTACTAAAAAATACTCAGAATTTTCATCATCTGCAGCTAACTCTGCATCTGTTGGTGTCAAAGTGCAGCATCTACAATCAGAAAGAAACCATATAAATTTGGTCTGAATGGGAGGTGTTAGGGCCCCTGTCGTAAGAGTTCAGGTTGTTGTTTTGGTGGGAGAGTGAGACCTCCTCTTGTTTTCACATGTTTGTTTTTTTCCATTCATGAGCAGTCCAGGATCATCGTCATTGGAACGCACGGAGGCTCGGGATTGGTTGAACCACCAGAAGAGGCGGTACTTAGGCACCCTCTTCCAGACGTGCATCGTGTCCCTGAAGCATCTTCGGTCCTGTGTCCAGATTCAGTGTTCAGTATTTAGACTTCCGTTAACAGTGTGTGTTGGTACAAAGAATGACCATGTTTCATAGTTAGTTTTTGTGATTAGTTATATTGGAATTCGGGTTTCAGAGAATTTAGTTGACTCGTATTTAAGATTAGGATTGTAAATATGTTTTATGTCAGTCAGAAGCAGGACGGGTGAACTGCCAGTTTTGTTTGAATTCGTTTTCCCCTGTTTTTTTGCTTAATCTAAGCAGGAAGGTTAGCAAATGTTTTTGGTTTATTTCTGTTCTTCCAGGGTTTAGTTCAGTTGTGGGATTAATAGATAGTTTGTTTTGTTTGTTGTTTTGGCCTCAGTCCACCCTGAAGCCAGCCTTCTATTGTTCTGTTTTTTTCTATTTTGTAAATGTTTTTTTGTTTAAAATTGTAAAATATATATATTTTGGTGGCAATAAATTGCCTACTTTCACCCTGTTTTTCTCACCACGTGTCCTTTTATGCTATGTCTCTGCACCCCTAGACCAGAACAGAGGTATTTTCTATCCAAAAAGACCATTAGAGCAAAAACTACAGAATTCTAATGAGCATCGACGAGAAGATCAGATCCACAGATGGCCTCTGTGGCTGCTTCAAGGTCGAGGCTTAAATCTAAAGGTGCTTTTCCCATCAGGCCTCTCAGCTTCAGAACAGCCTGTCTGAGGAGATAAGGTTTGCAGCATCACTAACTTCTTTTAAATCACTTCTTCAGACACATTTCATAGACTTGTCTTTGTGTGGCTCAGTCCACATCACTGTCAATATTCAAAAACACGTCTATTTGTATCAGAAGATCTCTTTGTTCCCTCAAAACACACAGTAACCGAACAAACATGGAAACCT